ACGTCTGGTCTGAACAGGTCCGTTTAAAAATCAGACCCGCTTTGTCTCTGCGGGCCACTTGCACAGGATGAGTGCTTTTGACAACACACATCTTTTATGGGCATCAGCCCTGCAGCTAGTATATAATCAGCATTAGTGCTCGCTCAGCTGTGTCGTTTTATTGTTTCCGCGCTTGCGCTTGGCCAATTTCCATTTTCTCGCCGTTGTTGTTGTTTTCCCGCCAGAGTCCCTTTTGTCCCTGTTGTCGGACATGTTTGACATTGAAACTCGACCTTGGCGCGCGCAGCTGCGAAAACAGTCTGAGAGAAGAAATGGGAGCATCTGCAAAAGTTTCTGCCAGATTGCAAGGAGGTGGAATTTATTTTGAACTAAATTAGAACAAAGGCAAATTATTACAATTACTAATCAGGAGGGGGAAAAAACAGCTATTAATCGGTGGCCATGTTTTTCACAAAAGTCATATTTCCGATTTTAAACAGATTTGACCCTCTACGCTTACAGAAAAATAAAATGACAATGGCATTATTAAAAACACGTTTTGCTTTCTGTTTTATTTTCCCCTTCTGCAATTTATTTATCTTGATTGCAAGCTTTAAAACTGTTTCACCCCCCAATGTTAATTTGCATCAACTTCCACAGAAATAATAGATTTTATTATTTTTTTTTTAACAAAAAAAATTGAAATGTTCATCAATTTAACCCAGAAAATGAGCGGTCAAACTCTTCTTCGGCGTTCCGATTTGCTGTCATCATAGTGAAGTCTAAAGCGCCACCTATTGTTTGGATAACAAACTGCAAATGCATTTCAGTGGGCTGCTTTTTAACGTTCCAAAAGCATCCAAAAGTCCGCATTCAAGTGTGGATTTTTTATTTCTAAATGTTTTCCGAAATATCTGACCTAGCCCGACGTCGCGTCCCTCATACGGGAAGCTGGCAAAACAGATGGGCCGCCCGTGCTTCCCGTCTGCAGTCTAGCATGTGTCATTAATGCCGGGACCGCTGCGCCTGCCTCGCATAATTGCTCTTTCGTTCCCCTCCGCTTCTTCAGACGTGAGGGGGTCCACGCTACGGAGGGACTTTGATTAAAAACACGAGGCTCCTTAGCCGCGCTCCCTTCGCCTGCCTCTTACCCCTCCTCCACCTCCATTGCGCTGTTCCACATCCTGTCTGTAAGCGCACCGGAATTCCTCAAATGCTTGTAACTACATCGCACCTAAAATTTTATATCACCCTTCTGGCTGCCGCTGTCTTTTTAAGAGCCGTTTCTCGAACCCCCCCCCCCCCCGTCCTGCGGAGGCTCACTGGTGCTGACATTCCCGCAATGTCCCCTATCACGTTGAATCCGTCAGCCTCGTGGTTTGCCCTTTCAGTCGGACGATGAGACATTCCTGCCGAAGCGTGCGCACGGGCGCGTGCGCGCACGCCTGGCGATGATGTCAAATCTCGACGCTAATAGGCCTAAGCTTCGCGTTGGCCCCCACTGGGGGTCTTGCAGTCGCTGCCGAAAACACGTGTACGTTGCTCTGTGGAAACTTGGCTTTAAATACTTGCCGCCAAGCAGAGATAAAACGCCACTGTGGGGATCTTGTGATTTTCATTTGATTGTTTGGAAGGCCTGCGTCGGCGCTCGCAAGGCCCCCCAGGGTCTTTCTTGTGACTAATTAATTTCCAGCATGCAGGGGTAGAGGCCAGAGCTCGTGGGCCTGCCTCCTGCCACTGGTGCGTGTTTGCGAGGAGAAAGAGGAAGAAGAAGGAAGGAAGGGAGGGAGGGAGGCTTTGCTCCGGCTTGACTGCTGCGCCTCAGCCTGCGGGGAAGAGGTGGAGGGAGGGGAGGGGTGCGGCGGCGGCGGCGGCGGCGGCGGCGGGGCGGTTGAGGTTTTGACGAGCAGAGCGCAGAAAATCGATCCGGGGGCCTCGCTTCTCAGCCTCTTTCCGGACGCACGAGTCCTCCTCTCCCGGGAATTAGATAACAGCTTGTAAAAGCCCTCCACCGCCAGGCGCTGCACTCGCCTCCTTGATTCCGCTGCCGTCGCACCTCCCCCACCCCCCTTGCCCGCCTTTCCCAGCCCGCCTGCCCGCTTGTCCACCAGATATTGAATTCATCCCTTTCCAATTGGCTTTAATTGGACGCGCCGCTTCTCCCCATAACTGTGTGGATATTGCATATTATCAGCACGTTAATATTTTATTAGATTTTAATTGGCCTTTGTTGTTTGCCTCAGCGCCCCGCTGCGCCCGTTGAACGCGCCGCCGCCGACGCCTGTGTGCCTTTGTGTGTTTGTGTTTGGAAAATACCAAACAATGGCTTTCCTTCTCCGCCTCCGTTGGTCAGTCTCCCCTTTCACCGAGAGTCAACAAAACTGCCATGTCAGGGATGTAACAGAAGCGCCAAGAACGTTTTCTCATCTTGTGCCTCACAAGCAGCGCCCACCCAAAGCAGGACATGCATGACCTTGTCGGCTTGGTGCCTGGACATTAGGGTTCGCCTTGGAAAACGAGAATGTAGCCTCCCTCCGCCTTTGAGTGGGGAGACGGCTCCTGAATGTTGTTTGTGTTTGTGCACCAAACAGCCTTTCAGAGTGCCCGCATCCTTCTTGGAGTTCTTGGAGGGTGTGCTGCCGAGCGCTCCCCCTGGGGACTCCGTCGTTCGACTGGGGGACTTCACTGCTCACGTGGGCAATGACAGTGAGACCTGGAAGGGCCCCGCACGGTCTGAACCCGAGTGCTGTTCTATTATTGGACTTCTGTACTCGTCACAGATGGTCCGTGACGAACGCCGTGTTCAAACACCCCAGGCCGCAGTTCAATGATCGACTTTGTAGTCGTGTCGTTGGATTTGCGGCCGCATGAAGAGAGGGGCGGAGCTGTAAACTGATCACCACGTGGTGCGTCGGCTCCGATGGAAGGGGAAGTATTGTGAGGGTTTGATGGGAACTCCTGGCAGAATCACATGTCGGAAAGAATTTTAACTCCCACCTCTGGAAAAACTTTGCCCACGTCCCGAGTGAGGCAGGGGACATCAAGTAGGAGTGGACCATATTTTGTTCCTCCATTGTTGAGGTGGACGATCGGAGCTGTGGCCACAAGGTTGTTGGTGCCTGTGTGGCGGCAATGCCCGAACCCGCCGGTGGTAAGGGACTCCGTCAAGCTGAAGAAAGAGTCCGATCAGGCCTTTTGAACGCAGCTTCAGCAATTGCTGAAGCTAAACCCGGGTGTGGGAGGAGTTTGGAGAGACCATGGACAACAACTTTCGGATGGCTTTGAGGAAATTCTGGTCCGCTATCCGGCGTCTCAAGAGGGGGAAGCAGTGCACCATTAACACTGTATCGTGGAGATGGGGTGCTGCTGACCTTGACTCATGACGTTATGAGTGGGTGGGGAGAATACTTTGACGACCTCTTCAATCCCACCGCCACGCTTTCCATTGAGCAAACAGTGCCCGGAGACTCTGGGGTTGAAGTAACGGAGGTGGTCAAAAATCTCCTTGTCGGCAAAGCCCCACGGGTGGATGAGATATCCTCACGGAGTTGCGAAAGGCTCTGGATGTTATGGGACTGTTCTGTTCTTTTCAAGAAGGGGGAGCGGAGGGTGTGTTCCAATTATGGAGGAATCACACGCCTCAGCCTAGTGCTGGAAAAGAGGGTCCGTCGGGAAGTTGAGCCCCAGATTCAGGAGGAGCGGTGTGGTTTTTGTTCCGGCCATGGAACAGTGGGCCAGCTCTCAAGGTTGTTACCTCTCACACGGAACACAATCACGGAAAAAAACCCCCGACCTTTTTCTGATTCAAAGAGGTCGAAGAATTGAGCCTCACGGCGATTAAACTTCAAACCCCAATCGAGGCTTTCCGTCATCCCACCTCCGTTAGACCTCTCAAATGACCTCAGAGGATGGCAAATTTGCGGGTCGACTTCAATCTCTGTGTCCGTACCTTCCACTCCGAACGGGTATATCAGCAAATGCGAAGGTTCGGATGGTGAACTTCAGTCCCACATTTCCACCACCGCCTTTCACACACTCCAACACACCTATTCCGTGTTGGTACCTTTCGAACAGCATAGCAACACAGGAATTTAAAAAAAAAAAAAAAGCTCTCCACACAAAGGCGCTTGAGAAGTGAGCGTCTCCACTTCCCAGTCACGGCTTTCCACTGTTCCCTTCCAACAGCTGCTGTCCCGTTTTTTTTTTTTTTTTAAATACCATTGACGCAGCCAAATTCAAGGCCATTCAATGTCAGTAAAAAGGAAATAGCGTCACACCAGTAAGCATCAGGGTGTGTACGCTTTGAATGAGAACACCCTAGGTGCCTATCGCGGCGGTAATGCACACACACGCCCGCTGGCTGACACAACAGTGACAGCCGTCCAACTGAAGGAGTCCTTATCAGGCCTTTTTGGCTCTGGTATCCCAGAAGCAGGCCAAGCGGGATGTAGCTTTGGCAGTTGCTAAGGGGAAAAAAAAAAAAACTTGGGTGTGGGAGGAGTTCAATGAGGCCATAGAGAACAACTTTCAAACTTCAAGGAAATTCTGGCCCTCCGTCTGGCGTCTCAGGTTGACGAAGAGGCGTGCCATCGACATGTAACAACGTGGCTTGCTGACCCCAACACGGGGACGTTGTGGGTCGTTGGGTATAACACTTGATACACCTCAGTTCCTCTGATACGCCATCCAATGGTGAGCCTGAGGGGAGGCAGGCCTAGCTCTGAGGTCTTGGTGATAGATGAGATCTGCCAAGATTTCTTAAAAGCTCCGGATGTTATGGGGCTCACTTGGTCGACATACCTTTGCAACATCTCATAAATATCAGCCGCAGTGCCTCTGGATTGATGGACTGGGCTGCTGTGTTCCAGTTTAAGGGAACGCACTGGGGGAATTAAATGCTGTCCCGAATAGAAGCGTTCACGTATCTTCATGACGACGGGAAAGAATGACTGACATGCGAATTGATGCAGCATTTGTAGTCACGCGACGGTTTGTCTCCGTGAAAAGGGAGTTGAGCGGCAAGGCGAAGCTCTTGGTTTACCTGTCGAGCTACTCTCCCACCTAGACCCGTGCGTGCTGAGTGAAAGAACAAGATCACAGACGCAAGCGGGTGAAATGTGTTTCCTCCGCAGGGTGTCCGTAGCTCGGTTATAGAACAGTGGCTCAGAGTAGAGCCGCTGTTCCTCTGCATCGAGCGGAGCCTAAGGAGGTGGGTCGGGAATCTGGTTAAAAAGCTTCTCTGACACCTCCCCGGTGAGCTGTTCTGGGCATGTGCAACCAGGAGAAACTTTGAAGCACATAACGTTACAGGTCGACTTCAACTCCCCGTTTTCCCCGTCAGTACATTTCACAAAAAGCAGAAGAAAAGCTGCGACAAAGCATGAAAAACGAAAGAGGATCTCAGTCCTGACTTTTCTCCAATGCCTTTGACACAAGCATCGGCTCTTTTGATACTACCTCTGAAGCCGTCAAATTTGCCGGTTGACTTGAGTCCCCCGTTCCGTGTCGGTACCTTTGACACAGAGCAGTGAGCTGCAAAAAAAAAAAAAAAAAGCAGTTCCAGCTAAACATGATTCTCTCTCCTGCAGGTTTCCCTGGCTGAGGAGATCAAGCCACTAAAATGGTATCCATCTGTTTACCTGCTGGTGTCTACCTTCCCACTCATCAACAGGTAAGGCACGCGCGTGCACACGCGTATTCACAAACAATCATGTGCAGACCTTCAACCGCAAATCTTGTTGTATTTGCATATTGGCGTCACTCGTATCTTTTCGCCGCCTCCTCTTTCGCTCTCGCTTATCAGCGGCTCTTAGAAGCTCCGCTCTCCGTGTAGCAGCCAAGCAAGATTGTGTGCGCATAGTTGCGCGTGTGTGTGTGTGTGTGTGTGTGTGTGTGTGTGTGTGTGTGCGTGTGTGTTGTGGGTGTCGACCACGCACGGAGCATTTTATTGGCTTTTTTAAAGTCGGGGCTTTGTCAAGCGAGGGTTGCCGTGAGGGGGGGCGGGCGGTCCAGTAAATGATAACCTTGGCCCTGTTATTACTTCTTTGCCCACCCCCCCCCCTATACGTTAGCCATGTCTTCCGCGTAGAGCCGCTGGCGTGATTGACAGGTCAGGGTTACTAAGTGATTAGCTGCGGCGGCTCCGCTTGTCGCCGCGGCGATGTCGGCAGAGACGCAGGTCAATTACAGGGTCAACGTCTCTCAAAGGCTTTCCTCCAATCGCTGTCATGCCCCGGCTGTCAACTGACGGAGATGATCCCGCCCCCTTCCTTTCCTCCGTAAATGTCACTTTCCCTTCCGCTCTCCTTCAGTTCCAAGCGACTTTTGTCGCCGCTCCTTCCCCTAATTTGCGATTTTCCGTCTCCTCTTTTTCCCTCTCCTCCATCACACAAAGCTGCTTCCCCCACCCCCCCCTCTCCCGCTCTGCCTCCTTCCCTCCCTCCCTCTCGTTCTCTCTCCGCCTGTCTTGAGCAAACACGCTCCGCTCTCTGCCTTTCTCCCGAGAGCGCACGGGG